TAGGCTTCCCTGAAGAGGTGGGTTTTCAGGGTGCGCCTAAAGGAGAGGAGAGTAGGTGATAATCTGATGGGTTGGGGCAGGGAGTTCCAGAGGATGGGTGACACCCTGGAGAAGTCCTGGAGGCGGGCATGGGAGGAGGAGACCAGGGAACTAGAGAGAAGGAGGTCTTGTGAGGAGTGGAGTGTGCGTGTTGGGCGGTACTTGGATATTAGGTCGGTGATGTAGTTCAGGGCAGTATGATGGACAGCTTTGTACGTCAGTGTTAGGATTTTGAATTTGATCCGTTGCGCAGTCGGAAGCCAGTGGAGGGATTGGCAGAGGGGGGTGGAGGAAACGGAGTGGTTGGAAAAGTGAATGAGTCTGGCAGCCGTATTCAGGATCGACTGAAGCGGGGATAGCCAGCGGCGAGGCAGGCCAGTGAGGAGGGAGTTGCAGTAGTCGAGTCGTGATATGATGAGGGAGTGGATGAGCTGTTTAGTGGTTTCTGGGGTTAGGAACGTGCGGATTTTGGCGATTATGGAATATAATTCTTTTTTGAATATTATTTATATAATAAATGTTTATAACACAAGGGGGTTCAAGTGAAATCAGCACTTTTAAGTTTACAGGTATAAAAAGGGATGCTAGCGTGGCGGTACTACAAGCAGTAGTAAGTGGCATGTATGTCCTATTAGTGATAGGTGGTGCACATGTCACAGGTCAGTCCAGAGATGGTTAATCAAGATGGCAAACAACAGTGTTAGTGCGTGCATGGAACAGCGTGTGTGGTGATGAAGTTTCTTGTGAACGAAGGCGTGAAACCTGCATCTATCTACAAAATACCTAGATTGTAAGCTCCAAGGAGCAGGGCCCTCCTTTCCCTCTTGTATTGAACTGTATTGTTGCTGTATTGTCTCCCTTTATACTGTAAAGTGCTGAGCAAACTATTGGCGCTATATAAATCCTGTATAATAATAATAATAAATACTTCAAGCACAATACAGTGATGAGACACTCAGCCACAGTAAGACATATGAATGGTGTAAACTTTTCAAGATGGCTGAATGTCCGTCATTGACAATTCCCAGCTGTGGTGGTTCCCAGTCCACAGCAGTCATTGCTGTGAACAATGAGCGTGTGGAATGCCTGATCCTGGATAATCGACGCATAACCTGCGTGAAATTGCACAAGAGGCTAATCTTTCTGTGTGAACGGTGAACACAATGATGATGAAGTGAAGCCGGCTGTCCTTGGATGGCTCAGAAGTACTGACAAATCTTTCTATGCCAAAGCTTTCCAGGCATTAGTTAAACGCTGGGATAAGTGTATAAATGTAGCAGGGGAGTATGTAGAAAAATAAATGCAGTTTCCACTCCTTGAAATTTGTCCTTTTACAATGTAAACTCAAAATTTCCAGTTTGACTTGAACACCCCTTGTAAAATAATATTTATTAGCATTAGTAATATTTTTGGTCTGTCTTGTCCCAATATATATGTTCTCAAATGAAAAATCTTTTATTGTAAGATTAGACATCTGCCTTCAGTTATATTTAGTCCCCATGCATAAATAAGTACAATCGAAGGATGGTTCCAGCCGTATGGGATGTACAGGTCTGTAGGAGACCTTCATGGTCCAAGGAAAAAAAAAAAATACCATAAATACCATATAAGTGTAATTAAACTCTGTGGAGGCCCCTAGGTAGTCGTGACATTTAAATACCCCCCGCCCCCCCAGGAAATTACTCCCAATACATTTTTAAGTTTGCAAACCATCAATTTTAATAAACTGATTGTATTACACAGAACAAACATTAACACTTTTTTTAAACCATAATTACTGAAGTGGAACATCACCCAAAATGGGAAATTCTGCTTTTCCGCCTCCTCCCCCTTCCTCTTTACTATTGGGGGCATGGTTTTCTGGGGAACAGGTACCGCATTTTGATAGGTACCTGCTTCCACATCAGCTCAGATCACCTACGTGATCCGCACAGAAACTCAGCCCCCCATACGACCCCCCCCTTTGCCTGCAGCCTTCTGGGACCGGTCATAGGTCCCAGAAGGCTGCAGGTCCATCCACAATGCACAGTGTGACTCGGCATGCACAGTGGGAAGCCGGCACAAAATTTGTAGCACCTGAATTAATTATTACACAAATATCATTAACCACGTAACCTCCAGAGGATTTACCCCCCTTAATGACCAGGCCTCTTTTTGCTACTCGGCGCTGCACTAATTCAACTGATAATTGCGCAGTCATGCAATGCTGCACCCAAACGAAATTTACGTCCTTTTTTTCACACAAATAGAGCTTTCTTTCGGTGGTATTTGATCATCTGTGCGCTTTTTATTTTTCACGCTATAAACATAAAAAGGCCAAAAATTTTGAAGAAAAACAATATTTTTTACTTTCAGCTATAAAAAATATATAGTAAACTCAAAGTTGGTTATAAATTTAGGCCAAAATGTATCCTGCTCCATGTTTTTGGTAAAAAAAATCCCAATGAGTGTATATTGATTGCTTTGTGTGGAAGTTATAGAGTCTACAAACTATGGTATAAATACTGCAATTTACGCCATTTTTCTGCTATACAGCGCTGCGCTAGTTTAACAGACAATTGCGCGGTCATGCAATACGGTACATAAATGAAATTTACATCCTTTTTTTCCACACAAATTGAGCTTTCTTTTGGTGGTATTTGATCGCCTGTGCGGTCTTTATTTTTTGTGCTATAAAAAAAAAAAAGGCTGACAATTTTGAGGAAAAAAAAAAACAATATTTTGGACTTTTTGCTATAAAACATGTCCAGTAAAAAAAAAAAATGCAACAATCAAATTTAGTCATACATTTCTGCCAAAATGCATTCTGCGACATGTCTTTGCTAAAAAAAAACCCCAATATGTGTAAATTAATTGGTTTACGTGAATGTTATAGCGTTTACAAATGGCGGGAAAGGTACTGGGATTTTTAGGGTTTTTTTTTATACTAAGGCTACGTTCACACTAGCCTTGTGTGCAGGCGGCAGAGAGGCGTTTGGGAAGCAGAGGCGTTTTTTACCGCTTCCCAAACGCCTCTGCCAATTCTGCACATTACAGCACATGGTGCTGTTTTAACGGGAGCGTTTGCGTCGCGTCGCGGCAAAACGGACGCCTCTGGACGAGTCAGGAGGCTTTGAAGCCTCCTATTCTCGTCTATGGTGCCGCTCCGCAAACGCAAACGCCGGCCGGTTTGCGACGCGGTTGCGGGGCGTTTGCGGAGCGGTAACACCACTCAAACTGCATTATAGGCGTTTGTGGGGCGTTATTAACGCTCGGCAAACGCCTAGCAACCGCCGCTAAACCGCGCATGTGGCTTTTGCGGAGCGTTAATAACGCTCCGCAAACGCCAGACCAACGCTTGCCAAAAGCTATAGGGGCGTTTGGCAAGCGTTGGCAAAACAGCCTAGTGTGAACGAGCCCTAATAATGGCGGCGATCAGCGAATTATGGCAGCGATCAGGGACTTATGGCAGCGACCAGCGACTTATGGCGGGACTGCGGCGGACATTGACATTGGGGGGTACTGACTTGGGGTCACTGACATCCCCAAAAACACTAATACAGTGATCAGTGCAAAAAAAAAAAAAAACTGACACCGTACTAATGGCAATGGGGAGGAAGGGGTTAACTTTATTTTGCAGGGAAGGGTTATAGGAGTGAGGGGGGAGGGTTTTACTAGGGGGCGGGGGTGTGTACTGGGCGGGACAAGGCTGATCGAGAAAGAGAAACTCTTCTTTCTTGATCAGCTCATCCTCGAGCTGACAGGGAAGTGACAGACAGCACATCTACTGCAGCTGTGCTCTCTGTCACTGTTTGCCGCCGATCGCCGGAACATAGCCGCTAACGAGCGGCTGACCCGGCGAACTGACATCTGCGGCGGTGATCCGCGGGACAAATAGGGCGGCGGCGCGCCTCGCGCGTGCCCCCTATTTGTTTACAAAACACATGTCTTAAAACGTGGTTTTGTCTGTGAGTGCCGCCCTGCCGCCGTATATGTACAGTGGCTGGGCGGCATGCGGTTAAACAAAAAGTAAGTTAACTTTCATAATTAAGTGCACCTCAGCCTCTAGATGGAAATGACAATCATTACTGTACATTACACCAAATTTTTTTTACATAATGATAGCTGAAAAAAGAGGAGGCTTCCTTGTAGCAATGGAGGTTGCCTGACCCTTCCTGCCCCCCACACTTTTCTAAGGACCATAGAGACATTCCATTATAGTAATCCTAGACTGTAAGCTCCAAGGATCAGGCCCTACTAACCCTCTTGTATTGAACTGTATTGTTGCTGTATTGTCTCCGGTTATATTGTAAAGCGCTGAGCAAACTGTTAGCGCTATATAAATCCTGTATAGTAATAGTAATGGGCCAATTAGTCAGTAGTGACATAGCACCAAGCAGGAGGAACCACTGCCCACACCGGTATAAACAAGAATGTTTACCTCTGGAAATATTTTTAATTTGAAAACTGCTACTTTCATATAGTATATATATAGTTTCATATAGCAATATGTCATATCATTAATTTATATTTACAAATCATACCGTCATTAGTATAGTTATTTACAAAGATGTCAAATAAGCTTTCCAAATTTTTCTTTACAACTACCCGCCATATAACTGGGCGTTTTTACAGCCCTTGCTCTTGTTTGCATTTCTTATCAGTTGGTATAAGTCATAACTTCATAAATAAATGACTTTCTTACAATAAGGTGAAAGAAAGCGACCTAGAAATTATACACAGCGCCTCACCACATAAATGGGCATTTTTACAGCCCGTTTCGGGCCGAAGGCTGCTGCATATTCTCACAGATGCTTTGTTCCTGACATATAAACCACTAATCTACCTAGGCCAAGGCAGAGCATGTAAGTCTATAGACGTCTGCAGCCCTATTTCAAAAACAGAGAGTACAAAATCTAGGGGAGTGGAAGGATAGATGGCCAAGCAGAGCAAAGAAAGCAAAGCAAAGCAAGAATGTTTACCTCTGGATCTTCCACAAGTGTGACCACTCTTCCAGGCTGCAAAAAAGAAAAAAAGGCAAAAATTAAAGGTTATTGAAGTGCTTCTCATGACATTTTTTTTAATTTATTTGAAAGTAGACAAGGGGTAGACTCTTTGTAATTTTTTTTCCTGTCTGTCACATTAACCATTCCTTTATCAAATATTATGACCATTGATTAGGTGAATCCACATACACCATGGTGGTTTGGTGGAGCGATCCTTCTATTATCCTCATTTGGTGTAAATTTTGAAGGACCTATTTTCTTCCATACAATTGTCTTTCAGCACGACACTGAATTTATACTTTTTTTCTGGTGGACTTTTTTTATATTATTTTCTATAGTTTTTATATATTTTTTGATTATTTCTGGTATATATAATATTTTAAGGATTTGCAGAATTGATTATTTACAAGTGCTGCACTTTTCAATATTATAAACTTTTTACTAAGGCCCTTTTCACACGGGGCCTCCACCAAGCGAATCTGCCTGCTCAGCAGGGGATCGGTTTGCTAATCCCCACTGAGCAGGCGGATGGCAGGTCCGTGTCCGGACATAGCCCACTGTTCTTTATGGGCGGTCGGATGTAAAGGGACTGCCTGTGAATGTATCCCCATCTGCCTGATTTTGGTGGAATGGATTGGATCAGATGCAGGCGGGTATAAAAATAGACACATGTCCATTTACATCCGCCTCCCCTTAGAGAACAATGGGTGGTCCGGTTGGGTCCGCCTGACAAACGGACAAGCGGACTTGATCAGTGTGATCGTGTGAAAGGGACCTTAGAAGTAAAAGAGGAAAAAAAAAGTCTCACTTGTTGCCCAGAGGTTACATCATATATAGCAGATTGGCCCAGTCTTCTCTGCACAATCATAATAATATCTTTAGATGTAGTCTCATTACGGGCAGAGAACTGTAGTGTTTGAAGGAGCCTGACATTGCATGTGCGATCAACAGATTGTGGGTGCAATGCTTTGCAGGCTCCAGAGGAAAAAAAATAAAAATAAATAATAAATGCACTTTATTTTTACCTTCAAAAAACAGGTGCATTTATTTAAAAGGGATTGTTCTTTAAAAAAAGAAATCTACCTTTACAAACATATACTTACCCGCTTTGTGTAATGGTTTTGTACAAAGCAGCTCCGATCCTCCTCTTCTCCAGTCCCCCCGCCAGCACTCCTGGCCCCTCCCTCCTGCTAAGTGCCCCCACAGCAAGCAGCTTGCTATAGGGGCACCTGAGCAGGCTTGCTCGAGAGCCGCGCTCTGTGTGCCCATGCTCTCCTCATTGGTTCACTGGCTGTGGAGACAATGTCTCCCGCTGCTGTCTTAGCCAATAAAGAGAGAAAGACCCAAGGCTCTCATGCATATCGCTGGATTGTGATCAGTCTCAGGTAAGTATTGGGGGAAGGGGGGGGGGGCAGCACACAGCAGGTTTTTTTACCTTCATGTACAGAAAGTTATATATAAAAAAAAATATGAGCCTTAACAACCATTTTAACAAAGCGTTTAGAAAAAGTAAAGTCAAAGCTTTTTTTGGCCATACTTCTCTTCTGGGTCACAGGAGTGCACATACTTTTGCACCCCAGTGACCCAGAGTCAGCTTATAGCAGACTATTGCAGAGCTGCTCCAGGCTCTGGGAGGATCTTGACCATATTGTCAGGATCCACCCAGCTGCCTGACAGCTGGCTCTGCCTCTCAGGACATGGCTGAGGGCTGAAAGTGGAGAACGGTCACCGGCAGTCACTGCAACAGTCCATTCATTCTAGTGTCCTTGTACTGTGTGTGAACATTTAGAAAAGAGAAGTTTGGGGTTTGTAAAAAAAAAAAAAAAAAAAAAAAAAAAAAACAAACCCCTCAACAACATATATACAGTACTTACCTGTATGCTCCAGCTGTCCCCCAACTCTAGTACGGCGAACTGAGCGATCAGCGGTCACACGATCACTCAGTTCTTGGTCTTCGAGCTGACATGGGACAGCTGCAGCATATATAGGTGAGTATGTTTATTTTATTTTTTTTTTTTCCGCAAACCTCAAACTTCTCCTGTAAAATGTTCACACTCGGTACAAGGACACTGGAATAAATGGACTGTTGCAGTAAGTACATTTAACAAACAGGGAAAACAGAAAAGCTCCACACATATTGCAGTGATGCGTTAGGCACTGGAGGGTTCTGCAGCCCATTGTTTACATACAGCATTCATATCATGGTCACAGACTGTTCAAAACACATCGCTGTAACGCACGACAGAAGCAGATACTCTGCAGAGTTCAATGGGGGCCGGTGAGTGAGAACACATTACACATGACAAAACACAAAAATATTCAACTGTAGTCTGTAAAAGCAGAGCACCGCGGTGAGCCAACGCACCCATATTATTCACTAATGGTATTCAATACTATCAAATAAAATATAAATCGTATGAGCAGAGATTCCACCTAATAAACTAGTGCGGCATTTTTTTTTTATGCCGTTTGTGTGCTATACCTGCAGTGCAATTTTCAGTGCGGTGCAGGTGTGATTATTTCCAGCCTAATACATTTTAACAATTCACATCAAGATTGCGCCTGCACCACATCTGGTCATCAAAATCGCACCGCAAACTGCATTGCATATATGTGAACCCAGGCTTAAAAATGTATATAAATGTATACAGTATATATAAAAATTGTATATATTATTAGCCAACAGTAAAAAAAAAGCTGCATTGCATCCGCCGACACCAGCGGCGGGGGGGAGTTCTCGCTGCGTCCGCCGACACCAGCGGCGGGGGGGAGTTCTCGCTGCGTCCGCCGACACCAGCGGCGGGGGGAGTTCTCGCTGCGTCCGCCGACACCAGCGGCGGGGGGAGTTCTCGCTGCGTCCGCCGCTGGTGTCGGCAGGGAGTTTTATTGCATGCAGTAACACCAATAATGAGTGCTCTCTGACCATCTGACACCAATGCCCAGAGTTTTTATTGCATCTACTGATTATTGTACTCCAACTTGCTCTTTGGTGCATTTTGCAAGCCACTGCAAAAAAATGCAGCAGGACACCAATTTTAAAAAGTCGAGGGGTGATACTGCACGTTCATTTTGACTGAGCTGTAATGCACCTCAGCACAAAAGAAAAAGCGCACTGTTATTGCCCCCAGGATCGTGGATAAGGGGGCACCACTATTCCTCCTGTAGGGGCCCAAGCAGCTGGGTGAATTGGATGTGGGCAGAGAGGGTGATTGTCATGGCGGGGGGAGGGGGGGGGCAATTACTGGAACTTATCCCCTATATGGCTCTCTCTGCAGCAACTGAATGGTTGCTTCTACTCCTGCTCCTCAGCTGCTGCAGAGAGCCATACAGGGTATCGGTTCCAGTAATTGCTCCCCACTGCACTCATCACCCTCCCTGTGCATCATACATCCCCCCCCACTACCCAGGGCCCCATGTGCCCCCACCCCCACAGTGCTGCTGGCTTCCCTCCTCTCCTTAACATCGGCAGCTGGAGGCAAACAATAGGATCCTTCAGGATGGAGAGTGGGGTAAGGGTCCGGTAAATATGTCACATTCACAACTGAAGCATAGTAAACTGTTTTTTTTTTTTTTTTTTCAGGGGGGCTGCCAGGTTGGTCAACAAGACCCTGTGGTATCTAACAGCATCCCTGGGGGGGTCACACTTGAGACCCTCTATTATTTTCAGGTTGACCACCCCTGCTTTGGATTTGACAGCGACTATGTAGTGCAAAAGCCTGCCTGACTGAATAAAGGTTGAATGGTTAGTTTAGGTAGGTCCTCATATTACCTAGTATAGCTAAATCGAAATTTGATTGTACAAAGATTGTATGTGACCTTCACTTCTATGGTCTGAACAAGTTGTGTTTAGCTGCTCATACAATATACCATCAGACTGTACAAAGACTGTCTTATGTAGACTTACCAAAACTTTGTAATATGAGGACAAACCTAGCAATACATTGTATTTGTATGAAAACACATAGGTCCTTACACTACATAGCTGATGGTAGAGCTAAAGGAGACTGGACAATCAGATCACATTTGACGGTAATGAATATTCAGGGATGAGAAGATGGGCCCTGCCAGTCACTGTTGCGAACACAAATTTCTATCAATGACCAGCCTTAGGGGGCGTTCACACTTGACTAATTTCTAACTCTTGCCAATGCCCCCATAGCGTTTGACAGGTGTTAGACAGGCTTTTGGGAAGCGCTTTTTACGTTCCTCAAATGCTCCCCAAATGCCCTATGTGCGTTTTAGAGGCGTTTGATAGGAGTTTTCCAAGCGTTAAAACCGCACCACAAACGCCTATAATGAAGTTAATGGTATTATCGCTCCGCAAACGCCTCGCAACCGCCTTGCAAATGCCCCAAAAATGCCTGCCAGGCGTTTGAGGAGCGTCCAAAGACAAACAAACGAAACCAGAGCTCAGATCTTCATGCAGACTTAAAGGAATTCAAAATGGCAAACGAAGAGGTGCAGCCCTTCAAAGATTGGGAAATCTGGGTACTAAGGAACAAAAAAGGGCGCACTCTCATCGTGCGTTACCGTAGAACACCACGTGTTTATTGTGTAATCAAATTGATGTATACTCACAAAAGGACTATTTGACCTCTTTAGCATTTTTTGGCATATAAGTATTGGACCAGCAGGTACAAACTTCAGCTCTGAGGAAGGGGGTTCGTCTCCCGAAACGCGTCAGATTATCTCCAATTGGGGCACAGCATTGTATTGACTGCCATTGCGGACTATTCACACTGCTTTCATTATCCTTTGGTTTGTGAGTATACATCTATTTGATTACACAATAAACATGTGGTGTTCCACGGTCATGCACGATGAGAGTGCTCCCTTTTTTGTTCTTTGTTTGAGGAGCGTCACAAATAGACTTGAATGGGAGGCTTCAACTCCTCCTGACTCCACATGAGGCTACTTTTGCGACCCTAACGCTTCAGTGTGAACAGAGCTGTGTGCTGCCATGTGTAGAATTTTCACAGGAGTTTGAGGAGCATTAAAAACACTTCCGTAAC